AGGAGGAGGAGGAGGTGATCATCATTATCATCATCATCTTCTTCTTCTTCTTCAAAACACCTACAATGGAATAATTTCATTTTTATTATATTGGTCATTTTTCAATAAAGGTTTACTTTTTTGGCAGACATCAAACTTATACATTAATTTGAAGAGTTTGTCAAATCAGGTGCACTAATCATTAGTGACAGATATAGATCAAATTATCACGGGCTCGACACGGTTTAATCATGGGTCGAAAATGTAGTTTGTATATATAATTTTGAATGCATGGGCAGTTGATTAAGCAAAAGACTCTATTTTGTCTGAAATTTTGGCTATATAACCGTCTCGACAAAAAGAATTCAAGAGTGGATCACCTACTTGAAATTGACGTGAGATGACACCAAAATTAAGCCGAAGAAACAAAAAAAACCTAAATTATTTTGGACGAAATTGATTGAGCAAATAAAATTTAATTAAACTACAAGTTTGTGGTTACAACTGTTTTGATGAAACAAATTCAACGATGAGTCCCGACTAAAACATACCCCATAAGACACTAAAATGACTCATATATAGATAGTAATGAATTTGTGCTAAAATTATTTTTGAATGACAAATTAACCTGACAAACAAACTCCAATTGAGATCAAATTAATATAAATAAATATTGCTTTTAATTCGTATCATAACTGCGAGGAATTGCAGACAGGCGAATTGTAGAGAAAACAGCCTACAGTACCCCTCTTCTTCCCTACGCAAAAAACCCAAGCTTTATCGTTTTCAATTTGAAGACCAAACATCATCTTCAAAATTCCGTAGATAAACAAATCCTTGGAATTAGGGTTTCAGTTGAGGGAATGTCGTCGGAGAAGAAAGAAGCATCGGAAGGCATAGCTTTGCTCTCGATATACGGGGACGAAGACGATGACATGGACGACCTCGATTTAGAGAGAGAAAATCCTCTCGAAGAGCATGTTATTCCCCATCCGCCGTCCGATGGCGTCGCCGTGAAAGATGACGGTGTTATTGCTGGTGATTTCGGCCATGGAAATATGCAGCGGCCACAAGAAGACGACGATGGTAAGGAATTTGGTTATGTTACTTCCTCAGCACCTGCAATTCCTAAGGAATTTGATTAGGCATTTGATTTTTAATCAGTATGATATATAGCTTATGTATTCGTTTGATCTCCTTGAATAGTTTGGTTGAGAACTTGAGTATCATAAGCATGGTGGTATGATAGAATGCCGGAATTTCTTCACAAAAGAAGGCATTTTGAAATAAAGATTGTTCAAATTATGATAGAGAATGTATTGGCGAATGAATGCATTACCTCGTCTGGTTTTGTCGTTCGTGTTCATTTCTGTTATCACTGACGCCATGGAAGTCCATTTTTTATTGTTGCACATGACGTTTCTCAATCGTTCGTGTATTGAGCTCCTCGCAATATTTTTTTTTTTTTTTTGGGGGGGAAAGATTTAGAAAAAAGAATTGGGTAACACTATAATTGCACGTCGAGTTCATTGGAATTATCATTTGTTATGACTTGTATATAGCTGATTAGAATTTGGTATTGGAAGCTTGACAATGGGAATATTTTGAAACTGTTGAGATGTTCTAACAGAGCTTGTATTGATTTTCCGTGAATTAGGTGAGTCCCGGGAGAAGAGATCACAAGGAATACCCTGGATTTCTTCACCAAGCACTCAAGCATCACCGTCTAAGTTCTTGGAGCCAATTGATCAGTCTAAATCAGATGGTTTGAGTTGTGCTGTAAGAGGATCAGAATCGGGAGGGACTGATGATTCTGTTATGGGATCTGTTGAAGACAGAAAAGATGTCGACCCGTTGGACAAATTTCTTCCTCCGCCTCCAAAGGCCAAATGCTCACAAGATTTGCAAGTTAGTGAATACTCACGTGGAGCCTTTTGCAAAGTGTTTATTTGTGACCGATTTAATGACAAGTTCACTTCTATATTTTCATCATTTTTGCTGGTGCAGAATGTGTTATCTTGATACGAAAATTTTTCTTGATCAGCCTTTTGTGGTTGCACATTTGGGTTTTTATCCGTTGTGTTTGTTGTTTTAGGAGAAGATAAGCAGGTTCATTGCGCTGAAGAAGACTAGCGGAAGAAGCTTCATTTCTGAGGTGCGGAATAGAAAGGAATATCGGAACCCGGACTTCTTGATGCATGCTGTAACTTACCAAAATATTGATGAGATAGGATCGTGTTTTCCTAAAGATGTATTTGACCCTCATGGATATAACAAAAGTGACTTCTACGATGAAATAGGTTGTCCTTGACTTAGTTCCAGTATTGCAGTTTATCAGTTTTTCTATGTATGTTAGAAGAATGAGGCTCTGCAGAATTAGATTTGAAGAACGTGATGAAACTTGATGTTTGAGCTCAACAAACTACGAAATGTGCAGGCATCGACATATATATGTCCGAGCAGAAAACAGTTTCCTTGTTATTGGTTGCTGCAGTAACTGTCCTTTTCATAAGCTAGTGTCTCCTGGAAGGAGTTTTGTATAGGTCTCTCTTTTCTTCTCCTTAAATTTTGGGGTTTTCAAATTTATCGTGTCTAGAGTGAAGGCCCATATGCTAAAGATAGCTGCCTTTGTATATCTGTGTTGTCATTTTTTTCTGGGCTACACTTTCTGAATCCCCTTTGGGGTTGGCAAAATGTGTCTATAGACTTATCCTGAGATGGGCTCCAAGTGATGTGCTTCATAGCAAGTGATGAGGAAAATTTGATACCCTTAGGAAAGTGTTTAAGTATCAGGTTGAAGCCAGGATGTGGCACTGAAGGGTCCATTAAATGGTGAAAATCAATCTACCGTTTCGAAAAAAAATAAAAATAAAAATGGTGAATATCAATAGAATAGAATTGAGTGTTTATGAAAAGAGCAAAACTGAAATATGGCAACAAAGGAGAAAAGTGATTTCAGATACGAGGTCGAAGAGAAATTTAACTTAACTCTAACTCAATACTACATTTTCAATATAATATAATATCAAACAATTATTATCACTTATCACATCAACTTTAATTCTCTAATTTAAATGAATCATCGCTTCATATCATTTTTCTTTTACTTTTACATCAAATCAACTTTAATTATTCTATTTTAAATATTATTTTAATAAAAACTCAAAATTCCACTAATAATTAACCATATAATTTTTTTTTTCAAAATTAACTATAGTTAACCAAAAAAAGTCTCATTTTAAGCAGATATATTTATTGGAGATTCTACGGTTCCGTTACGGAACTATTTTGTCGGGGTTTGTAACCGTTAGATCAACTATCTACGACGGTTACATGATGATTTAATAGTTACAAATCTCGACGGAATAATTCGTAACGGGACTGTAGCATTTTTCTTTATTCATATACAAACACACCCTTATCTATTATTATTATTGTTATCTCTTTTTTCTCTTTTCCTTTTTTTTTTTTTTTTTTTTTTTATTTGCAGTCGAAACATAATCGGTGGTATTATTGGATCAACCCTTGGGCCGAAAGTGGATGCTATTCTTTTAACGAACACAGTCAGGCTAATTAGGTCCCTACTTTATTCTCTTAATTCAAAGAGATTCTATGGTCCCGTTATACAATCATTTCGTCGGGATTTGTAACCGTTAGATTAACTATCCATGACAGTTACATGATGATCTAACAGTTACAAATCCCGAAGGAATAGTTCCGTAACGGGACCGTGACATTTTTCCTTAATTCTTAGTTTGTTTATTTACAAATATCTTTATTTAAGTTGTAGTGTTTTACTTTTTTCCGACACATTGCAAAGGTACCATCCTTGCCTCTCATGTGTTTATTAAACTGTCATTATCACTAAATATTTCTTAATAATCCCCGATAATACTGAATTATAATCTTTCTGTCCAGCGCTTTCTCATTATTAAAACGAATTAAGATTTGCATAATTGCGCTGATTCTGCGTAATAATTTCAACGTCTCCATACTTAGATTCTTCGTTAGTAGAAAAAGTTATAGTACTGTGTAGCTGCTAACTTGATTTCTTTTTAAATTATCATGATCTTTCTTTATGTGTGCACAATTAAGGGTGTAATTTCAATGTATTATTCCTGTCATATAGTGGTATAATTATAATATGTTTGTGCCCCTTCACCCATTTGTACATGCAGTTTAATGATATCATGTTATTTTTAGTAATGAAAGAACATGTTATTTTTAGCCCCCCGGAGCGTAGCGCAGTTGGTGGGATGGGGAGCCGCAAGTTCGCTTGCAAGCACCGGGTGGCGGGATCGAAACCTGGGAGGAGCAGATTGCAGATACCTGAAGTGGTCGGCCCGCTGGTCGCCCAAGAGTGTACAGCTTCGGACTAACTGAAAGCCATTGTCGCAAGTCTTAGATTTAACTCCCGAAATCACTATGGGCCGGGGATTAGGGCTAGGGATTGACTGCAACTCTGTATAGTGGGGTTGGAACCCTATGTATCAAAAAAAAAAAATAACTTTTTATTGATACATGTAACCGTTTGTCTTTTTCTGTCACACGTACGAGTACACATGGCGTAGCGAGATTTTTTTTTTTTTTTTGTCAATTATGGGCTGCAATACGTGCAAACTGAATGTCAAATAACTAAGCCTGCAAACGAGTTGGGTCGAGCTCGAGCTCGAGCTCTGGTTCTTAAATACACAAACTTGAAATCGAGTTCGAGCTCGGATCGTTTATCACTAAAAACGAGTCGAGTTCGAGTCTTAATGAGCTGAGTTCGAGCCTTAACAAGCCAAATTATAGAAATTTATATAAAATTAAAA